TGTTTTCCTCCCCCATGGGAATTTTAGAGAAGAGGGGCTCGCCACCCCAACAACGCCCCCGCGCGCGGCGGGGGGGGGGGGAATTGCTGGGAGTTGAACTCCACCCATCTTAAAGTTGCCAAGGTGGAGAAGTACTGGGTTAAACTGTGGGGAGACCAGCAGATAGAGGTGGAATGCTTAACCCTTGCCTGCCTATCTTCCCCTGCCACGTACCCTCCACTCAACTACTTTTCTCCATGACAAAGTCACATCCGTACCAATTGGATGCAGAAGTTTAGACACCCCTGATCAAACTCTAACTTCCAACGAATCCGTAAGTGCACAGAAGCTGACGTCACCTTTGCATGGTACAAATTGAAGCACAAGATCTTTCTGCAAATATGAATGTGTGCTTACGAATTATGTGCCGCTGTCTGCAGATTCAGAATGAGGAGACAGTGAATAAGGGAGGCAAAGAAGTGTGGACACCCTCCCATGCAGAGTTTGATCAGCTTCTGTTCACTTAGGGATTCACGGAAATGTACAGTTGGACCAGGGGTGCCTAAATTTTGGCATACAGCTGTGGACTGTCCCTAGAGGAAAAGCTAGATAGTGGATACATGGCAGGGGGAATCCTCAAGCACCCCCATTGTCTAGCAATTTTCATGCATTTTGTGGGTGTGTTCTTGTTAATGGCATAGTGAATATTCAGTCTCCAATCAATCTAAATATTTTGGCGTTATTTCAAAGTTCCTAGTTTTCAACCAGGAGTTGGTGACATCATATGATGAAAGAGAGAGGGTCACTTTAGAGCTTTCAAAGAAACCTATGGAGGTACCTTTGCAGAGTTATGGTAAAAAAGAAGAAAGAAGTTGCAATCTGTGAGTGATTGCATTTGAGGGGCCAGGGGCACATTGTAGGAGGCATTTCAGCAATCCGATGGTTGCATGGCTTTAACTTTTGCAACCCAACCGTATCCCCAAAACTTGACAGACATTTATAAATGCAGGGAAGTTGCTAACACTAGCAACAGTGGTCCTTTTACCTCCTGCCATGGTGAGGGCTGCATCGAGAGCAGGGCGAACCTCCTTTCCCAGCTGTTCCCAGACTTGACTGCCAAGCACTGTCCCAACATCTGTTGGAGAAGGAGATGGTGGGAAGAAAGTCAACTGCCAATAACTGGGTGTACAACTTTGCATTTAAATGCCACACGTTAGCTACAACTCAAACAGCATGTAAATTAACAATTCTCCCCCCACTCCATTAGTTTTCTTGAACTATAACCAAGATTAAATTCTAGTTCGATTAAAACACACACAAACTCTGGTCATTGATTTGAAGTGGTGTTAAATAACAAATAGGACACACTGTCCAGGAATCTTAACTATTAGGAACACTAGTTCTTTATGATTATCCCTTTTGAACTTGCAACATAGATAACATTTCTTTGGTGTCACCCAAATTTTGGACTTTCTCATTAGGTGTGCTCAGTCTGAAAGCCAGTTTGGTGTAGTGGTTAAGAGACCAGGGTAGAAACTGGGAGACCATGAGTTCTGGTCCCACCTTAAGAACAAAGCCAGCTGGTGACTTCAGACCTCTCTCTCTCTGCCTTAGGAAGAAGGAGGCAAGGGCAAAACACTTTTGAAATCTTGCCAAGAAAACTGCAGGGACTAGTCCAAGCAGTCACCAGAAGTCAATATTGACTCAAAGGCACACACAAAAAGATTCAGTCTGTCACTAAATGCAACACTTGTGCATACTGCGTATTGTACTATTGTATTCTATGAATACTGCTTCTACGCAATTTTGAGAACCTTCTAGTCAGCCAGCCTTCCCTTTGGCATAAATTCCCATAAATTCTACTTGACACAACAGGGTGGCAACTCCTGTCTGTCTTCTGCTTCTGTTTCACAGGAAAAAACATTCCCAGATGCACATTCTTTGTGAGAGCAGAGTGATGCTTCTCCCCCGGGTGAGAAAATTCCTTTAGAGAAACCACCTTGAGAAGAATTTCCTTTGCTAATTAACACTATTCATAGCCTCGTAATAATCCAACTGTCCTGCCAAACTTCCTTGAGATCTTAACTCATTGTGTAACACCTAAACCTGTTATTTAACACTTTGATATTTCTGTTATTTAGCATTTTAGACTTAGCACTTAGATAGCATGTTTCATAATACGAGTATTGTAATCCTGAGCTGCAAAATGAGCTGCAGAAGCCATGAAAACAAGCTCTATCTGATGCAAGTCTCTTAAAAATCCCGTTGAATATACTTACTATTAAGATCAGAAAGTGCTTTCTTCTTGGTGGTGTTATACTGATTCACCAAATAGTCGATTTGCTAAAAATAAACCAACATGCACAGAACTAATCACATACCCAAATATACCAATGCAGTAATAGTCACCTATCTAAGCATTGTTTCCATTTCCGGAGGTCACCTCACAGCATCACAAAAGCTGTTGAATTCCAGCTTTATGAGATAGATGAGGCTTCAGTATCCAGTCTTCTTCATAGCCTGATGAGAATTTATCTCTAATCATGGTGGCTACATAAGCTCTTAATTTTAGCTGCTGGTGAACTTGAGTGAAAGTGCGCGATTACACTCTTCTGAGTTTCCAAGAGACATCTAACCGGGGTAAATGGATGGAGGATCAGACAGATCATCTACTCAAAGCCACCTTCCCCTCAAAAGGTTAGATGTCCATGTTTATCGTGGCAAGATGCCCGTGCTTACTGGAGGAGTTAAAAACAAAAGTGGTGCGCATTGTTGTAATTAATGGTGTATGCTACAATTAGCACAATCCATTATTGGGTATGAGTTCAGTTTTAATAACTGTCCTTCATCATAAATGATACTTGGCATGATATTAATAATATTTTTAGTATCTTGTACAACGTAAATGTAAAATTGAATTCAGCCACAGGATCACTCCATGCCTATTACATAACACAACATGAAGCCACCCAGAGAAAAATGTTACATTACCCCAGGAGTTCCATTCAGGAAAATCCGAAGGTCTCTGAAATTACTGTTCACCAGTTTCTTGGCTCCCCGGACTTGGCTTGTGAGATGCTGGTTAGCCGCATAAGCAACAAACACCCCAATACTAGGTAACAAAACAGAATACAGGAGAAAGGATGACTTTATGTTTGTAGAGTTAAATGATATTGTTATCTGGCTCCAAGCATAGTAAAATTACGACAAAGCTATTTCTGATACTGAAGTTGAAAATATGGCCACATATGTTGCTGTCTGTTAATACCCATTTAAGAAAACCAAAACTGGGATCCATCTTAGTTAGTGTAGGTAACAATGATTTAACCTGACCAATGGTTTTAAATTCATATCTTTGGGCGGGGTCCAAATAATCTGTTGAGCTGAACACTAGCGCGTTAAGAAGAACGGAAGTGAGAATTTGAGAAGATTCTCAAAGCTACTGTTGGCAGGGTTGGTCAACAAAAATTAACAGTCTTCAATAGATCTGAGTTGTTTCATGTTGTTACTGTAGCACCCATTTTCAACAGTTGCTGGGGGAAAAGGCTTCACAAGATTTATACATAAACAGTTGTGGCTTAGAAAGAGAATTGATAGATAATATGATGTTCCAAGCAAATGGTGCTCTATGGACAGAAAAGCAAGATACAAATGGTGAACATAAAGAAAACAGAATGTTTTTCTTTATTAAGGATTCAAGACCTTCAAAGATGGAGCTGGAGTTGTCTGCACATTTTGTTGGAGAATGCCTTTGCAACTGCTCAGGATGAGGAAGAATGGAGAAGGTCCTTCCAGAGGCCACCTCAGTCAATGTTTCATCACTGTATTTTGCCCCTTTCTCAAGAGGCAATCACACCCAGGAGGAAGAACAGGTGAGGGAGGTCTTCAGTGGATCCAGTAAAGTTTGACTGCCTGAGATTTTTATTTTATTTACTTATTTTATTAAATTTGTTATGACCACCCATTTCAAAAGACTCTGGGCGACCATAAGAAATATGGCCAATCGGGTGGGACTGGAGACAGAACCCTGGAGTTTGAGAAGATCTGGCTGTGTGACTCCACATAAGCTCTACAAAACTCAGCTCACTGGGAACTAAAACCTGTTGCTCAGGAAGGGTTCTCATCCCCTCCCCAGGTCTCATTAGCCTAGGTGGCTTAGCCTTTTTACACCATATACATGGAACCTGCATGTTCAGAAGCAGGGTAACTTAACATACTACCTACTGGAAGGTGCAAGTCATAGATTGCAGTGCAAATGTTTTGTCTCCCTGGTGTACAACTGTCTTAAACAAGATGATGGAATAAATATACTCCGATATGTGAGCGTTTACGTTGTACACTTATGTGAGATGTTTCTAACTGGTATTCCAGTGCAGGCTGTTGAAAGTTTGTTTCAGATGAGAGCAACTGATGGTGGGCCCAATGCAACTTAACAGAGGTAGAAAAATAGCATTATTTCTGATTCTGATACTCAGGGCCGCATTTTAATTAATTTATGTATTTATTTTAATGGGTATTTTGCAGCTTGCAAAAAGGAAAGAATTACACAACAGACAGCCATATCAAAAGTGAGGAGAGCCATCTCCTATCCCAACAACCAGACTCTCCAGAGGCAACTTGTTCTTTTACCTTTTTCTTCACATTACGAAAGACCAAATACATCCTTCAGTCTTCTAAAATGTTTCCAGTGCAATATTTGGGCTTCCTAAGAGCCTTGTGATGGAGTGGGAAAGGGGTTAAGACTAGGAAGAGGAAGACCCTGGTTCTCCTGTATCCCCAGCCACAGAGGTTCCCTGGGGGACTTGGTCCAGCCTGCCTCACTGGGTTGTTGTTCTGGATAAAATGAAGGGAAATCCTCATGTGAGCTGCCTTAAGCTTTGTGGGAGGGGGGAGGCAGGATATAAATCTAAACAACAACAACACTTCTTAATTGTTTCATGAATTTAGCATGAACAGTTCTTGGCAGTCCATTCACCAATTGGTAACATAAGAGGCCCATGATTTAAATGTCCATCTTTTAAGTGCTGGAGATACTAAGCCAGAAGTCTTGTATTTTATCTTTGTCTCCCCTGAAAGGTTTTAAATTTACAAGCAAGACCCTGTACTTAGTCTTCTCTGAACATATAACATATAGCTGATCTATCTGGAGTGACCATATTCAGCTCTTCTTTCATCTGAATGTATTGCCTTGGGAGAGGAGATAAATCTGTAGGTGGTTTACCGCAAAATAAATTGCAGAGGAGCTCAAGAGAAAATGGCTTGCACTTCTAGATTTCCGCTTTTCCTAAGGGGACTGAAAATCCAAGTTAATGATAAATTCCAAAATGCTTCATCTCCATCATGAAGAGCTGAGGTTTCTGATAACTATCATAAAAAGAAAGTTAGAGGCCTTTCCTTCTTTAAGCACATGGGCATTATTCCTGACCCAACCAAGCCTCCATAAATAATAGGCCAGACTTTGTACTTCTGCAGCCAAGCAAAATTTACTCTGTGTTTAGCTTGCCTGCTTAGCAACGTGGCTGCCAAGAGGAGGCTGGCAAAGCAGCCCCTCCGACAGTCGGCGTTCTTCTTCTGCCGCTGGTGCATTTCCCCACCGCAATTGTCACAGCACCGGCACAGGCAGAAACAGAGGCCGATCAGTGGAAGCAACAGGACAAACAGGATCCCCAGGGCGGCTGCGACGATGAAGCCAATTTCATAGTAAACTGCCTGCAGTTTGGAGAGAAGAGGCAGGTGTTACAGCTCAAAGGTGGGGCTGGTGAGGCTGATGCAGAATGGAACTGAACTGGTTCCCAACACGATCGTCCCACAGAAGGGCTTGACGTGTTTCTTGAACGAGGGAACTACCACCCGTTGGATGTAACCCTCTCCTGAGCTCCAGACAGGAGAGGCAGAAGGCACTACTGGCCCCTCTCTCCCCTTTCTGCTTTGGGAAAGGGCACACAGACGCACCAGGGCAGGAGAGCAATCTCCAGCTCAACATAACAGCACATTTGAAACTGGGACATCTGGAGATCCCTACTGAATTCACCGTTTTCCAAAAGCGGAACTGCAGCTTCAGCAACATCAGTGTGTGGGTGAAAGGGTCCCAGCCAAACAGATCGTTCTCATTCTACCTCTGACCTGACCAAGTCACTCTGGATCTTTTTTCCCCAAAAGATAGGGGAATGAAATATCTGGACCTCCTTGAGTCTTCAAGAGAACCACTGTAAACAGTGCACATAGTGCAGTTCAGGTCCATGAAAAAGGGATCCAAGGAAAGCAAAAAGTGCTTCCATAAGACCTCAAAATATTATAGTTCAAGCATTACAAGCTCAAACTGAGAAGCATCTCTGAAGATCTCCTGCAGGGACATGCATGGGCCCACATGAGGTGAGCTTGTCCTGCAAGGGGTAATATATGGTGGTGTGCTCCGACTGCATGTCTTGTTTTGTGATTTCTGGTTCTTTTTTCATGGGATCTACTGTATTTTTGTTTTTATTGTTGTACACTGCTTGGAGTCACATTTTTCTGAGTGGGCAGCCACAGAAATCTTAGGAGGGAGGGAGGCAGGCAGGCAGGCAGGCAGACAAGCGCAGCACAGCACGGCTTTCTTGGCAACAATATGGAGGAGGTTTGGCCTCGTCCTCTCAGAACATTATTTCCCTATTTCCCACTCTAGCCTACAGAACTAGAATTCTCTGATCTCCAACTGAAAGATTAAGCAAATCCGACCCTGCTTAGCGCTTTTTTTGAAACCCACCAAAACTGGCTAAGTCTGGCCAGCTGCTAGCTTTCAAAAGGGGATTTGATTAGCCATGGAGAATGGTGCCTGCCAGCAGGGAAACAAACAGGCTGAGCAGCAGAATTCTCAGGAGCCTTTGGCTGACCATGGTTGGAAACAGGGTGCACACCCTGCAAGCCACAGTTGTGGCCTCCAATAAGGCTAAACATACCCTGTGCTTAGCACATCTTCAAATGGCAAAAATGCAACAGACTAGAGCAGTGTTTCTCAATCTTGGCCGCTTTCAGATGTGTGGACTCCAACTCCCAGAATTCCCCAGCCAGCATGG